TCAGGCATGGGTGCAGCTCCCTCCCTCCCCCAGGCCCCGCCTCCTCCTCCAGGAAGCCTCCCTGCCCCACTCCCAACTCCGGGCCTCGGAGTGCAGGGCCAACAGGTCTGTGTCCCCAGAGCAGCACACACAGCAGGCAACAGGCACCGGCTGAGTGAGCGCCCTGCCAGCCTGGGCTGGGCCCCGCCCTGGGGGGGAGGGAGAGCCCGGGCAGTGTGAGCTACTCAGATTAGGAGCTGGGAGGCCCGGCCAACACAAACAGGCCTGCGGTGTCCCCTTCCTGCTGCTGCTGCAGCCCGAGGGCCCAGCGCCCACCCAGCCCCAACTGGGGGAGGGGCCCGCAGGCACCAGGCTGGCACCCCCTGTGCACGCAGGCCCCAGGCCCCCGGGCTCAGGGGCTGGGAGACACCTGCTCCAAGGAGGGGTCCCGCTGGAAGGGGCCACCAAGGGCCTCTGTTCTCCTCCGGGGCCCACCCAGGCCAGCGCGAGCTCGGGGCCTCCTCCCCCTCCCCCTCCCCCTCAGGTATTCCTCAGCTGGAGGCCACTGGGCACTAGAGGTGGAGGGGGACTCAATGAGGACCCGGAGGGAGGGGTGCCTGCCCATCGACCAAGGCCCTGGGAGCACCCGGCATCAGATGCCCAGTGTGTGCCCACCCCACCTCAGTGAAGGCCTATGCCACCGGGACCACATCAGGCCCAGGCGGCCGGGCTGGGCTGGCAGTGCCGTTCTCAAATGCCATGAGCCCAGGGGTGCCCAGTAGGTCATTAGGTTAGGGCCACGCCAGGCCCCAGCACACCTGCAGCCCCGCCTGCCACTCCGGACGCCCCAGCCCCAGGGCCCGGGGTTCATGCGGGGGCCGTAGGGGGCGACCGGAGACTCTGGGGAGGAGTCCAAGCCGGAATGTTCATGGCCCCACCCCGCCCGCGCATCCGGGGTGAGCACACACGACCCCACAGCGCGGAGCCACTGGCCAAGCTGGGCCACGTCTGCACAGCGGGCTCAGGACCCTCCAGCCCACAGCTGCTGGCTCCCCAAGGGGAAACTGAGGCTGTGGCCCAGGGCCAGTGGGCGGGGCCTGTTACCAGGACAACGCTCAAGACCAAGTCTCAGCAGCTAAAACTTCAATCTTGGGTTTCCCCGTCTCCCCCGCCTGCCCTCAAGTGACCCTCTGGCAGGAAGCAGAGCGAGCTCATGGGTTCCAAACCACATGTGAGCACAGCCCCACTCCCGCCCCCCACTCCTGGGACAGGACACCCGTTCTTGGAACCTGCACCTCTCCCTCTGGTCCGCCCCAGAAGCCCGGGCCATGCCTGTGCTGACACTCCAGAGGGGTCAGCAAGGGCCGCACGTACCCCGGCAGGCGGGCAGAGTCCCCCCCACCCCCACCAGTGCCCGTGCCCCCATGGCTCCCTCCTGCAGAGAGCCTGGCTCTCCCCCAGGACACGCCCA